TAACAAAGAAACAGAGCAGAAAATGGTGGTAGCGATTTTCCATCTCCAAGTGCCAAAACAATGCTTGATAATATATACAGTATATACCATAGTTTGTAGACTCTATAACTTTCATAAAACTAAATAATATACACGGATTTGGGTTATTTTTACCAAAGTAATGTATCAGAATACATTCTGACCTAAATGTATGAAAATGTTATAACAAAAACGAAAAAAAAAATATTTTATTTTCAAAATGTGCATGAATTTTTACATTTATAGAACAAGAAATAAAAAACCCAGTGAGGATTAAATACCACCAAAGGAAAGCTCTATTTGTGTGAAAAAAAATTATGCAAATGTAATTTGGATATAGTGTTGCATAACCGAGCAATTGCCAGTTACTGTAAAGTAACACAGTGCTGAATAGCAAAAAATGCCCTGAAGGGGATTAAACTTTCTGGAGGTCAAGTGGTTAATAGAAAGCAATTTAAGACACAGTTGTATTTCAACCAGATTATGTTGTTTTTCTGACTCATAATCTAGAAATCATATTGATTTTCTGCACAGAATATAAATAGTTCTAATTAGAGGCAATTTAAGAAGAAAAGAGCAGGCAAGCTCCATCTATAAACCAAAAATTAGATTTTATTTTCCCTGTGACAAAGAAAAAAATGCTTTGAGGAATTATCCGCACATACTTCAAAGCATGCTTTATAGGTAAAGAGTCAAAGTGGGTAGCTTTTATGTAAGGTATGTAGAGTGTGTATTCCAAATTTCCCAGCTGAGGAGCAAAATGAGAAAACATAGTTGTTCATTTTGAATGATGAAATAAAAAAAAAATGTAATGTGTGAGCTGACAATTAAAGTGATTGTAAACCTTCACCTTGTTAAACACCCCATTCAGTTTAAAATAAAGAATAAAGGTAAAACAATTATGTTTAGATATTAAAAAAAATAAATACCTTTGTTTTCCCTTTTTTTATAAGTGATCACGTTTACTCTATTCTCAGCTGCATAAAAGGGGAAGGAGAAACATCAGGGCACTAAACTTCCCCAAGCTGTGCGGATGGGGGTCTGGACAAGTCTGATCAATGGAAGAAAGCAGGGTGAGTTCCCAGCATAGCTAGAGAACTGACCACAGTGTTTTCTCCTGCTTAGCGTAGTCAGTTTTTGATAGGAAAGCAGAGGGACTGGCAGGAACACCAAGGAATTCACACAAAGAGAAAAGGATACATGTACAGTACATGGTACAGCAGGCACACATCAGGAATATGAAATGTTGGGTTTACATATTCTTTAAATCAAGACCATTATTGGCAAATGTCTTGCCAATGCCTTGCACTTGAATAGAGGTCAAGACTTTGACCAATGAAAGCTTTGGCAAAGTGTTATGGGAAAGTTGGTGAGTAACAGCCCAAACATTTGGGTTTTGGACAAATGTTCGGTCCTAACACTCAGCTCATCCCTATTACACAGAACATCTGGAAACACTCATGTTCCTTGACATGTACACTGCTCAATAAAATTAAAGGAACACTTTTTAATCAGAGTATAGCATCAAGTCAACTAAACTCCTGGGATATTGATCTGGTCAGTTAAGTAGCAGAGAGGGTTGTTAATGAAAATAACAACAGGTGCACTAGATGGGCAATAATGACACGACCCACAAAACAGGAGTGGTTTAACAGCGTTTTGAAGGGAGATACCTTCTTCATCAGAGCTCTGATGAAGTGGGGATATTCCTTCAAAACTCATCAACTTTATGCTGAGTGTCTCCCATTTTGGTAGGACTAGCACGTGTCTCATACTCCAGTGTTCCAATTTTGGACTTTATATGCGTTTTATATTGCTACATTTGTGAGTATACATCTTATTTTAATAAATTCACACTTTTTTACTGAGGTAATGTGCGCTTTCTTTTGTTCTCATTTACAGGATGAGCACTGCCAGAGCTCTACAAAATGACCTCCAGCAGGCCACTGATGTGAATGTCTCTGACCAAACAATCAGAAACAGATTTCATCAGGGCGACCTGAGGGCCCTATGTCCTCTAGTTGGTCCTGTGCTCACTACCAGGCACCATAGAGCTTCATTGGCATTTGCCATTGAACACCAGAATTGGCAGTTCCGCCACTGGCACCCTGTGCTTTTCACAGATGAGAGCAGGTTCACCCTGAGCACATGTGACAGATGTGAAAGGGTCCGGAGAAGACATGGAGAACATTATGATGCCTGTAACATCATTCAACATGACCATTTTGGTGGTGGATCAATGATGGTCTGGGTAGGCATATTCATGGAGGGACGCACAGACCTCTACAGGCTAGACAATGGCACCCTGACTGCCATTAGGTATCGGGATGAAATCCTTGGACCCATTGTCAGAACCTATTGTGGAGCAGTGGTTCTTGAGTTCCTCCTGGTACACAACAATGCCCGGCTTCATGTAGAGAGAGTATGCAGGCAGTTCCTGGAGGATTAAATAATTGATATCATTGAATGGTCCCCACATTCACCTGATCTAAATCCAATAGAACACCTCTGGGATATCATGCTTTGGTCCATCTGATGCTGCTAGGTTGCACCTCAGACTGTCCAGGAGCTCTGTGATGCCATGGTCTAGATCTGGGAGGAAATACCCCAGGATACCATCCGTCGTCTCATTAGGAGCATGCTCTGACATTGTCAGGCATGCATACAAGCACGTGGGGCCATACAAACTACTGAGTGCCATTTTGAATTGCTGCAATTAAATTTCAGCAAAATAGACTAGCCTGCTGCATCATTTTTTCACTTTGATTTTTTGGGGTGTCTTTGAATTCAGTTCTCTGTAGGTTGATAATTTTAATTTCCATCAAACATTGGGGCATCCTTATGTTCATAATACATCACCCAGTCCATATCAGTAAGATATCCAGCATGATCATTTTCCCCCATTGAGATCTGATGTGTTTTCAAAGTGTTCCTTTAATGTTTTGGAGCAGTGTATTTTCAGAGACCTCTACTTGTTAGTAGAGCATAACTTTCTTACCCATTTTCATTCTTCCAACACATCTGATTCTGTTTGTTTCAATGATTGGATTTTAACCTACTTGTTATCTTGTCAGTCATTAGCTCCTGATACAAAGCTCCTTTAAGGAGTGGTGGGCTCCCTCCAGCTTACCTGCCCTCAGTCTATCCATTATTATGCGTGTGCTTTTACTATGGAGGCTCTCAAAAGTTATAGATTTGGGGTTGCAGATAGTACCTGGGTGCCATGAAGAAGCTCTGCAGCTTACACATTTAATGTGTGCAATCTAGATCCCTGTTTTAATGTGAACTGTTGGACAGGACAATTTGGTTGGATTCAGGCTGCTTGGTAAGTTGAGCTGGGAATTTTTCTTTGTTGTTGTTTGACGTTCTTTGCCCTTCCATGTGCTCCTTGCTGCAAAGGCCAGGTATAGATTGGGGCAGTTGCCATTGTTTGTACTATTGAGCTCTATAGAGTGTGAAGAAACCTTTGTTTATGTTTCTATTCATATATGAGAATGAACATGCATTGACTGTACAGACCCAACTGCACAGTGGTGTTTTACAAGTACACAGGAAAGGGTGCACAGACCCAGATGCAGAGTCTGCAGGCAGCTCACCACTTTGATGAAAAAAATAACCAAATGGCTCATCATACACTACAGGGCTTAGTGCCTGTGCGAATGAGCCCTTTAAAGTATAAGATCACCTTTGGAAACCATTTTTTAGGGTGGAACATATTCCCCTTCTGGAGCTGCTACCCACTCCACTACATTTTGTGACAGCTACCGGGGGATCTTTTCTCCCTGCTAGGTGTCACAGCCTGGCCATGTCATTCATTTACAGAGTTCTGTGAATGACAAGCTACAAGTACCAACAGCCTTTGCGGCTGTCGACTTGTAGTTCTCAATGAACTACCACAGTGCTGTTGAGTGCTGTGGTAGTATATTGTCTCTTCATGTCAGTGTGTATCTGCCTGCTCGAATAAGCACGCAGATACATTGACAAGTCCACAGGAGTCCAGCATGTAACCAGTGACTTGCTTTCTAAGACTCCAAGAAAAGAAATAATAAATGCACATTTTTTTTAACCAGCAAACAGATGTGCATTTATTTATTTATTTTTTTTAAAGGTGAACTTATTCAACTCCAGCTGTTGTATTAGTGACTTATTCCTTGCTGAGACCTCTATGCCTGGCCTGTGTAAGCAGATACAATCACGGACAGTCTTTATCAGACAGCTGAACTCACCAAATACCTGTTTTCCTATCCACAAAATCTTTATTGCATGTAGCAGCCGCAGACAATAGATGTGGCAGATGATTAAAAATACAGTATTTGCAGTTCAAAACATGGTAAAGTGTTCCCGGACGTGAGCAGGTTACATGTGGCCTTGAGACAAGAGTTCATATTCATCCCAATAAATATAGAGTAAAAAGGAAAATGAAATACATCACAAGTGTGAGTAACACAAGATGGAAGACAGAAAAGGATGGTGCAATAATCAAAATATCCTCAAGATGGCAGTATATTAACAAACTATATGGAGGCTTCAGAAAATTAACTAGTTGCTGACCGCAGATAGCCGAATGACGGCTAAACTGCGGCCGGCCAGTTCTGAGTGGACGTCATATGACATCCTCCCAGAACGCGCTCTCCTGCGCGCCCCAGGGGGCGCGCACCCGGCGATCTCCATGATCGCTGTGTCCTACGGACACAGCTGATCACGTGATGTGGTAAAAGGCCAATCATACCGGCCTTTTACCACGTGATCAGCGGTGTCCAATGACACGCTGATCACAGGGAAATGCAAGTGCCGGTTCTCGGCTGCACTTTCCTCACGCTGTCAGATCGTGAGGAAAGTACTGCCGAGAACCGGCAGTTGTCAGAGCGGGGATCGGCACTGATCATCAGGGCACTGATGATCAGTGCCCTGATGATCGGTGCCCAGCAATGCCACCCGCAAGTTCCGCCCACCTGTGCCCAGCAGTGCGCCCACTAGCTCCGCCCACCTGTGCCCAGCAGATCACCCACCTGTGCCCAGCAGTGCACCCACCTGTGCCACTCTGCAGTGTCACACACCTGTGCCCAGAAGTGCCACCTACCTGTGCCCAGCAGTGCCACCCACCTGTGCCCACCCACCTGTGCCCACCAGTGCCACCCACCTGTGCCCACCCACCAGTGCTGCCCACCAGTGTGTTTTGCCTCAAAACAAAGTGTTTTTAACACTACTACAATCGCTCACTAATACACGGATTAGGCTTAATAAATATTAAAGCAAAACATGATTTATTGAATAAGTTCTGTTAGTATAATAACATAAGAATTGTCAGAATTGCAAATCATATTTAGATCATATTATAGCAAGAATAAAGCATCAATACATCACCGGATATTGTAGCATCACCCGTTGCCCAACGATTGGGGGACTCTCAGCAATCAGCAAAGGGGAAATCCGGGAAATCACCGCAAGGCACGTCTGCCGCGTCTTCAATGAGTCCCAAATTCCCCTAGAATCCCCCGTCTCTTATATACATAATTTGCAGTGTCCTTGTTTACTGCCATGCGCAGTAGACTCTATTTGTGTAACTATTGTGACTATGAACCTTGACTTGTTAGACTATATATCTTATAACTATAAATCGTTGACTGATTGCAACTGCACATCTGGTAACTATGAATCATAGATCTAGCCTTGATAGATCTTAACAATGTCCTTGTCTTATTATTCTAAACTCTAGTTACACTGTTCAACAAATTTTTATTTTTTTGCCAGTTTTGGAAACAAAAGGATCCATTTCTTAATGAATTTCACATTCTGAGTTCAAATATAACAATGAAATTTGTCAATTGGCTCTAGTTTTTCTGTAAACGGAAAGTTTTCTAATATAGGCGTAATGACTACATAATGCACAATAATTATATAGATAGATGTCTTTCCACAAATATAAAGCAAGTGATATTGACTACATAACAAAGCCTAAATGGCATAATATATTGCATAGGATTACCAAGAAAAATTATAGCCATAAGCTAAGTTGAATCATTTTAATACTTAGGATTCTCACTAGTTTTGTCTTCAGTTTGTGTCGGTTTTGCTTCTCTTGGCTTTTCTCTTGTATTCGAGGAAAGGGCTATCTCTTACAACTGCACGTGACTACACGCTTCAGGTTCTTCCTCACTTGACTCAACCACGAAGGATTCTGGTGCCTTAGGAATTGGTAGCCCCTCTCCATGAGGAACTGGACGTATTGCCGATGGAATATTTGGATAGTGCACAGATAACTTTTTCTTCTTATTTAGCCCTTTTACAATTGGAGGCACCATACAAAAGTAACAATTACTAACATGATCTGTTGGCTCTCTCCAAATCATTGGCACAGCGAAAGGCATAGATGACATTTTTACATTCAACCATTGCTCCAGTGCCGTCCCACAAGAATTGCAGCATATATGTGGTGCCCAGCTCTTGTCCTGGTCTCCTATCTTGCAGCCAAAATACAAGTTGTAGGCTTTCTTAATCATTCCTGTTATCCTCCTTTTTTGTGAGATAAAAGTTATTTCACCGCAGATATAGCAGAAATTATCTGCTTTATTCACACAAGTTCGAGGCATTACTGAGTAGCCTATATAAGCATAAAACGAAATGTAAAGATGCTGTCGAACTACAATCAGTTACAGATACTGCAGCTTTTATGCAGTGAAGTGATGCAATTAAAGGCTAATATTGCATCATCTCAGTATACATGCAATTTTCTATTGGTCACCAGTATCAATTGCGCAATATGCAGCTGAAGTTGCATCATAATTTTGAATGGCTTACGTCATTAGATGGGTGAATATATCATGGAAACTAGAGCCAATCAACATTTTTTAGGGTCATTTTCGTTTTCAGCACCCCAAAATTATGTAAGATTAGCTAATTTTATGCCCAAAACTTTTTACCTGTTGAACAGTGTTACCTCTCCACTGATATATCCTACTAAAATTATGGCAATTGAGTGTCAATCATCCTTCACACATACATTCTATACACCCATGTCACATATGTATCACACAGTGCCACCCACCAGTGCAGCCCAGCAGTGCTGCCAGTCAGTGCCACCAGTCAGTGCCCAGGGGTTGTGCCAGTCAGTGCCGCCAGTCAGTGCCCAGCAGTGATGCCAGTCAGTGCCGTCTATCAGTACCCATCATCAGTGTCACCTATCAGTGCTGCATATTAGTGCCGCCTATCCGTGACACCTCATTAGTGCTGTCTATCAGTGCCGCCTATTCGTGCCACCTCATTAGTACTGCCTATCAGTGCCCTTTAGTGCTGCCTATCAGTGCCCATCAGTGCCGCCTATCAGTGCTTATCAGTGCTGCCTCATCAACGCACATCAGTGAAGGAGAGAAAATACCTGTTTGAAAAATTTTATAATAGAAACAAAGAAACTTTTTTTTTTTTTCAAATTTTTTGCACTTTTTTAATTTATAGTAAAAAGTAAAGTGCCCAGTGGCGATTAAATACCACCAAAAGAAAGCTCTATTTGTGAGAAAAAAATGATCAAAATTTCATATGGGTACAATGTTGCATGACCGCGCAATTGTCAATCAAAGTGCGGCAGCGCTGAAAGCTGAAAATTGGCCTGGTAAATAAGGGGGTATAAGTGCCTGGTAGGCAAGTGGTTAACTATATAAGTGATCAATTCACAGTATTATGAAATTAACCATGTCTATGCATTGTATTATATTTTTACATGACAAGTGTAACAGCACAGAACTTATCCTTTAAGGCAAAAGGTGAACATACCATACATTGATTTTATTTCTTTCTTTTTCAGTTTATGTACTTTGCAGATTGTTAAATGGTAAATAAAAACTGTACATTTCATTCTTGTTTTAAGTATTGTGTGCTTGTGTTTCTGTGGTCATGTAAGTGTTTTCATGTACTCTGTTGGAGTTTTCAATCTTGTACATTATCTTGTGCACATTGTTTATGATACTTTGAGCTCTGTAAAGCTTTTTGTCATTGTTCATAATGTAATGTCAAAGGCTGTATTTTTCTTTACCTTTTATATGATCAAAGATGTGTAAATAATCACCTATGAAAATATTTTTAAAGCATAATTTTGTAACAGCATTTACAAGTGCCTAAAATGTTTTGCACAGTACTGTTTATGTTTTCCTTTTACTAGTACTTTCATTTAAATAAATAAAACACCATTATTGGTGCTACAAACTGGTTAAAACTAAACTGTGAATAGCATTAGTGTATGGGCAAAAAAAAAAAAAAAAAATCACAAGTATCCACTTACTCCCCCCTCAAAAAAAAAAAAATATTAGACCAATGATGTTGAATATAGTTAAATGACCAGCACCCCTGTCCCTTTGATACATGCGACTATGTGTTGGGAATTTCACAGCTGTAGATGATTGGGCTACTATAATGTGACAGTTTACTGTGAGTTTAGTTATAAAATTTGTCAGGTGCGCAAAGTGCTTCTGTCTTTCTCTCCTTTATATTCATCTTGTGATCCTACCAGCCAACCAATAGCATACTTCTTCTGCTAGGCTTAGTTACATTACAGTATCTATTGAGGAGCAGTGTTGTCACCGACGATAGGATTACATGTCCCATTTCCTTTTCTCCCAAACTCTCTACAGCAGAGAATTTTCATAATGCACAGAGATTGTTGAAAGAAGTATGTTGTACTTAGTGTTTAAGATTTTTTTGTAGGATCAGCAGATAATATTTTCACTTTTGGAATAAATATAAGAAAACATATTCAAACCATCTCAGACCAAGCAGGACCAAGAAAGAAAAGTTGTTTGTCAGACTTTTTGAACACCTGCCAGGACTGAGAGATGTCATGACAAATATGAACAATAAGATTCCAACAGAGGATTGCATCTAAATAGTGAGGCTTTTTACAGAGTGCTAAATTCACACAGGTAGAACACAACATTTCTGACTTGTTGCAGTGCTCTGTGCTCTATGGAACTTTGAAACTACTTCATTAGATGAATAGTCTTACATTGTCAACATTCAGATTTTTTATTTTATTACCACTTGGTAACAGCTATTTACATAACCTCTGTGTGTGAAATTAAATTTAATAGAAGCTGGTGTGTACAGAATTTTAATATCATTGATTTTTCAGATGCTGTTCACAGTCTATACCCAGGGAATGCCTTTTGGATAAAGTGTTGCATAGGAAGAAATGTGTAAAAATCATTTGTATTCCAGTTTAAATGGAAACCTCTACTTCTAGATAAATATACAGCTACACAGTCTGGTTGAATAATAATTCATTGATCCATGGATATAAAGATCAGGCTGGTAGCTATAAATAGCATAACACATCCCTCCAGGGTTGTTGTAGTTGTTGTTGTTTTTAGATTAATGTTGACAAATTTCTTTCAAACTCTATTCTTTCTGTGTAACAAGTAAAGAATTGAACCACCTGTTAAACATTGGTGTAATCATGACTCTGGCTTACATTGTATACTATGTTACTACCACAGTCCAGCACAGCCATTGAATGCTGTATAAACTACCTTTTCTAGAACAGGAAGCTTCTAGGTCCAAGTCATCTTGGGTATTACATGGAGCATAGAGCAATATAATTGTACAAAGTTAGGATGTCCATGACTTATAAATCATTTTAGTGCTAGGGACAAATGAGGGTTTATTGCAGCCTCCAACACCCTTTACTTTCCCAAATAGGTGTAACCAGCTGAGTTTTCAAAAGAGCAAAGTGAAAAAGAAACATGTTTGCACTTCCCCATAGATCCTTTAGGTAGAACTATAGGCACATCTTTTTTTAATTTTGGATAGAGTAAGGGAGGGTTATAACCAGGGGCAGACTGACCATTTGGAAACTCGGGCACTGCCCGAGGGCCCAGGGTCAGTAGGGGCCCCATGAGATGCCCCTGGTACCTTTTTCATAGGCTTTTTTGAGTTTGGGCAAGGACACAGGGGTCCCATGATCCCCTATTGCCTGGGGGCCCCATGAGTTGTCAGTCCCCCCCTGTTCTAAGGACTACATATCCTATGCCTTCCTGCTTGCAAGCAGTGATTCCTGTACTAACTCCACTTTCTGAAACTCCTCCTCTTAGCTCCTCTGCAGTTCAGAAGGCAGGCTCTGTGAAACATGCGCCACAGCAGTGTCTGCTAACTGGGCATAGTGAAAAGGGCAAATGATTGTGGATGTTCACAAAGTAATTTTACCAATTTCAAGGTTATTCAGATCAGAGGGGGCTAGAAATAACTGAAATATCATATGAAAAATAATACATTATTTTAAATTTTGAACACAGAGGAACTTTAAGGAAATAATTAGGCAACTTGGACCCATAGTAAAACACACTACTTTTCAGGATCAGTAAGGGCTTTGCTTGGGATTGCATGAAACTATATTAATTCAGTATTTTCCAAGGAAATTAACACTATATGCATTCAATTATCATCACTAACAGAAACCTACACATGTATTCAAATGTTTAATGAACCATAGGTTAGGCATATAGAAAAATGTACCTGCAGGCAGGTAAGTTGTATGTAGTTTGATTAAAAGGAAACTAAACCTGCAGCACAGTGGCTAAATGGTTAGCGCTTCCACCTGACAATACTAGCATTGTTGGTTCAAATCCCAACCACAACACCACCTGTCTGGAGTTTACGCATGCTCTCTGTGACTGTGTGGGTTTCCTTTGCGCATTCCAGTTTTCTCCCACACTCCAAAGACATGCTGATAGGTTGATTGGATCCTGTCTAAATTGGCCCTAGTATGTGTATGTATGAATGTAACTCAGGAACCTTAGAATTGTACATCCCTTGAGGGTTAGGGACTGATGTGGATGTTCAATATATATCTGTAAAGCACTGCGTAAATTGACAGCACTATATAAGTACCTGTAATAAATAAGTTGTATAAAACATAATCCAGCCTTGCAAAACAGCTTTTAAACATTTAGCTTAATACAATGGGTTGAATGACAAAAGTCCTTGAAGTCATTCATGGCAACAGAAAAAGTGGATTCTTATGGGTAATGGGCTACTACATATAGATCAGCAACAGAATGGTGATAGAAAACTATTCTAAAAGGATGATCCCAAATATTATACTGAACTACTCCCTTTATTTATACTCAACTGGAGGTTCACGTTAAACACTCCTGACCAGGGGCGGACTGACCATTCAAGCACCTCGGGTCTGTAGGGGGCCCCATGAAATGCCCCTGGTACCTTTTATAGGCTTTTTTGGGTGTGCTTTGAGTGTGGGCAAGGACACGGGGGTTCAATGATTCCTTATTGCCCGGGGGCCCCATGAGTCGTCAGTCTGCCCTTGCTCCTGACAACACAGAGTTTCTATGTTGCTTGTTTTTGAGGTTATATGACAATTTAAGCACCATTTTGTTTAATTAATGAAGAAAGTACATAGTCCCAAAATAAGGGGAAAACTTGCCACGTGATTTTGACAGGTCATGTTACTCAACTCTCCTCCCATCATGTGTGAGTGTTCTCTGCAGTAAAGGACTCCAAAGGACGCTGCAAACTCCACAGTGTACTTTGGATTTTATAAAATGTAAAATGCAGATATAGTGTGCAATAATAATTGCAATATCCTGCCAAGAACAGTACTCTCTTTATCATAAATCTAAAAGCATAACTTTGGGAATTTGAAAATTATCCTGCACCTGCACTGCAAGGTTTAACTGCCTGTATAGTCTAGGAGACAGGAGAAGCACTTAGAGGCTTCCCGCCTGGCCTATATTAAAATGTCATATGACGTCTTTCCAGGATCAGGCTGTGGCACAATCTGTCACCCGCTGTGTCTACCAAACACAGTGGGTGACAAATCATGGGCCACTGTTGGTACCATGTGGTCACTGTGACCAATCACAGCAGATCACATGGCAATTATACACAACGAATGACTTCAATTTATAGCCATTCGTTGTGTACTACTGTTTTGATCTCTGTGATTGGTCACAGTGATCACATGGCAGATACAGGGTCAATCACAGTGCATCTCTACCATGTACATACTGGATGAATAGATGCCATTCATAAAAAAATGGGTACTTTTAACAGTGATTATCATTGTTTC